TCATATATATTATTTTCTTGCAATTTTTCCATCTTAGGGTACGGGTTCTCAAAGTACATGTTGACTATTTCCTGGATTTCTACAGGATCTGTTGTTTGTTTGTTTTTGTCTTTATCTGTTGTGATTTCACCTTTTTCATTCCTAATTACATGTATTTGACTCTTTGTATTGTTTTCTTGTCTTGATTGCATTAATTTCTAATCTAATTAAAGAGTAGATTAGGTTTTTTTTTTTCCTTATATGAGCTTTGGGTTTGATTTGTTTCTCTTTCTTTATAAGTTTAAGGTCCAATATTTGGTGGTTTATTTGAGCTCTCTCTGTTTTCCTGAATTGAGAATTCACTGCTACAAACTTCCTTCTTATGACTGTTTTCATTGCATCATCTGAATTCTGGAATGTTGTATTGGTATTATCATTTAATTGTAGATACTGTTTAATTTCTTTTTTTAATTTCATCTGTGATCAATTAGTTGTTCAGGATGGTGTTATTTAATTTCCAGGTGTTTTTGTATTTTCTTTTGCTATTGATTTACAATGTCACTGAGCAATAGTCAGATAATATACAAGGGATAGTTTCAATTCCTTTCTTTAATTTTAGCTTATTCTATGTTCTATTATGTGATATGTTTGGAATAATGTCCATGTGCAGCTGAGAAGAATGTATATTCTGATGTTGTGGGCAGGAACACTTTGTTAACAGCTACTAAGTCCATTTTTTCACAGGTTGAATTTAGTTCTGATATTTCTTTGTTGATTTTTTTGTCTAGCTGACCTATCTATCTGTGACAGCATGGCATTTGGGTCCCCCATTACAATTGTGTTAGTGCTTATTTATTTTTCATGTCCACTAATTTTTTATGTAATTGGGTACACCAGTATTTGATGCACATATATTTATGCTTGTTATCTCTTTTTCATGAGATTTTCCTTTAAAAAATATGTAGTAACTATCTTTTTCTCTTTTGATTAGTCTGGGCTTGAAGTTTGCATTGTCTGCAAATAGAACAGCTACCCTAGCTTTTCTCTTGGTTCTCGTCACATTGAGTACTTTTTTCCAACCTTTGACTTTCAGAAGTTAATGCAAAGAAAGGAAAATAAAACCACTTTTCATCAAAATGAAAGATTTTAATACTTTTTCACAAATGGTTAAATGAAGAAAACTTTAGTAAAGTTGCAAAAGCAAAATACTGAAGGGCATGATCAACAATATCAACCTAAATGACACTGTGAGAGACACTGCCCAGAAGCATAAAACCTGTCCAAGGTACATTCCTTTCAAAGGTATAATAAGAAGCCTCTCAGTTCCAACCTCAATCTTTGGGAAGCTGGAGGAAGAATTACACCCCCGGGCTGGCCCACTGGAGGTAGAGGCCTCGCTTTCCTTCAGTGGAGTCCATGTGTCAGATGCTTCAGCCTGTTCTAGGTGGGGATAACATGGCATCTCCTGGAAAGGCATCTCTGTTCTAAAGGAACTCTTTCTCTGGGTTCTAACAGCAGCTGGAGACAGTTGCATTGCTCTGTTAAGGAGGCTCTGGATGTGGGAAAACAAAGTCCAACAATGCTCACAGTTTGCTCCTCAGAACATTCTGACCCACTTGCTTCTCCCACTAAGTGTACTCTACCCAAGCCCAGTTTATCCTGGGTTCTTGTATCCTGGGTTCTTGTTGGCTCCCATAACCACATGATTTGCAAAAGAATTAGTGAGATAATGATCAGCCTCTCCTGTAACAGCTGGCTTGGCTCCCATAACTCCTAATCTATCTGGAGTCCTTTTACCCCATGCTGGCACCTTTGGGCTATGAGAGTGAATCAATCCTGAGAGCTCTGAGCACCTGTTATAATGCATTGACTTAGATATTTTGTATAATACATACAATTTTTGAGATTATATTTTGGAACACAAAGATTTACTCTTGTCTGCTAGCAACTTGTATTAAGAGTCAAAATATCCATCATTTTATTGCTTAGAGGTTCACTTGAAGCATGACCTTTGTTTTTAGAATCCATCAGTTCCTTTGGGCCATTGGCTCAGCAGCTGCTCCACACAATGAAACCTCTGTTTTGCTCCCAGTAAGAGCATTTGATTGTTGTTACTGCTTATTCCTGGCCTTTGTGGCCTTTACAGCGTTCCTTCTTTTCCTGCTAAAACCTAGTTCCCCCTAGAAATACACTCTGAAGGTAGAACGCAATGGCGAGGAAGAAAATCTTTTCAATTAACCAGTAAACTATGCACAGCATGATCACACTTACTCCTCCACTACCTGATTCCAGACTGGGGCATTGTCTGCAGTCTCCTGGATTAGGTAGTCGTGTTTCTATCCAGATAATCACAGTTTCTGCCTATTGGGGTTCAACAACATCTTTCCATGGACTTAGCCTTCCTTTTCTGATTTTCTGTTGAAGGCTGTGGTAAGCCCATGTCCCATCTAGGCTGCAATCAATGCAAGTAAGAACTGCTGTTAGAAACATCAAACAGCAGATGACAATCTTGCAAAGACCTCAGATGGCCTGTTACCACATAGTTGCACTCACACATTTTTAGTGCTGCAGATAACACAGCTACAGAATAAGAGCAATGTCTGCAGGGATCCCTGAGCCAATCTAGTGTCCGTATCACCACAAAGGCTCTTGTGACTGACAGCAGAGGGAGAGAATGGGTGATTCCTAGGGGTTGTGAAGAAAGAACGCCTTGGAACAAGGTCAGTGACAGAAATGGTGTTGCTCAAAGGACACTTGACTTATCCAAGGAGGTTCCCCATAGTTACCATCCCAACCCAGATGCGCTTAATGGGGATTTCAGCCAGGTATGGTGGTGCATGCCTATAATCCCAGCACTCTGGAAGACTGAAGCAGGAGGATTGCAAGTTTGAAGCCAGAATGGGCAACCTAGGAACTTTGCAAGACTTTGTCTCAGAATAAAAATAAGTCAATATAAAGATCTAGGATATAGCTCGGAGCTCAATACCCACTATTATACGCACCAACAAAATTAGACTCTCCATGAGAATGTTTAAAATGGCCCAAGAGATTGATCTCAACTAAAAAAAAACAAGTATCACTTTAGGAAAAAAGCAAGAAACAAGGTGTCTTCTAAAACTTTTAATATTTAGATGATGAGCAAAAGTTTTGTGGGTGTTTGGAGATACGGGCTCATGAGAAGACAAGGACCTAGTCTCTGGCAAGGACAGAAACCAACCCAGAAGTTCTTTCCTCAGTAGAAACACATCACAGTTACTACTTCCCTTATCCAAGACGGGGCTAAATTGTTTTGCAGGGCCACACAGTTCAGCAGAATCTCTTCTCATTACCTTTTCCCTCTCCCTGGAGGTACTTGATAGTTATGAACTTGCTTCAGACTGTGCTGAAACCCCCAACAGGGGCTTGTCTTCTGGATGTGAGGGAGATCAGGCTGTGACATCTGTCACCCGATTGGTCACCAGGCTTTATCTGGCTGATTTGGTTGGCTAGGCAAGTGGCCCCTTCCTAACTGGAGGCTCACGTGCATTCCTCCCAAAACCATGCCCTGGGTCAGTAATGTGATATTGTGAATATAAGGATCTGTCTTTTTCATGCTTATCTACTTGTAGACACTGCAACTATCTAGATTCCAGAATGGATGTGCTGAGTTTTTCCAAATATCGTTTAGCTTTTTCCAAAAGTACTTTTCCTTGAAGATGATGGATCCTCTAAGACTGTCTTCATCATATGTGGGGCTGTTTCGCTAGTAAGCATAAACTATACTAAACAGAGGTACAACCAATGGCAGAGAAGGCTCGGACATGCCTGTTTGATAAAGAATAGTAAAATCACTCTTTTTATCACATCATTCAAAGCATTTTTAAGTACCCTAATATGACTTTCTGTTAATTTGAACTTGATAAGTTCCAAAGAATGATATACATGACTATATATTTCTAAGAGAGAAGCTGAAGCAAACCATCACGTAGCTCAATAGAGTACAGTGACATAAGTTGGCAGTTTTCCCCAAATATTACAGGTTTACATTTGTTAAAATTACTTTTAATTTTGTTACAATGAATGCTTAAACTTTAGCTTTGTATATAGTTGGTCTTTCCAAAGTTTTCAGAAATTTGAGGAAAAATAGTCACACATGGTTCTGTCTCAGGAGCACCCAATTATTTTAAAATTTTCCTTAAAACAAAAAAAGTGCTAATGTGGATTTTAAAGGTTAATGGATTCTGAATAGGTTTTTTTAAAAGTCAGTAACTTAATTAACTGTGCCAGGAAATGCATTTTAAAAATGTAGGCCATAGAATCTTACATTTTTCCCTATTGATATAACATTTTGTGATAGGCAGCTGTCTTTTGTTTAGGATTTCTGTTTCACTGTGTCTGCATGTGCGAAGCTGAGCTGGTGGAGAGCTCCTTGATTGAAATTTCTGGCTGCATGGCAAGATGCCATCTCCCAGAGTGTGACCTAGAGGGAGAATGTCCCTAGTCCCCAGACGCTGCTGAAGACCCCAACATTCTGTCCTCCGCTCTGCTGGGAGACTAGGGCGCCGGCATGTAGCCTTCTGTCTGAGTGCCACATGCAGGGTGTGGGTTACCATCAGGGCGTGAGTGGGCTTTCAGCCTCATCCACATGGCGCCCATTTTAGGGGGAAACACCAACTGTCTAGACCCTGAGAGTGCGCCTGGTGCCTCACTGCCCAGCAGGTTCACAGTCAAAGGTGAAGCCTGCTGAGCTGAAGTCCACTTGCCAGGACACCGCGTCCGGTTAGGCTCCACGGCGCGCGCTGGGCCCTTGCGTGTACCCTGCGCGTGCTCCGCTCCTGTGCACACGGGCGTGCTCAGTGTGCGCGGAGACCCCAGAGGCCGGCCGAGGAGCGCCCAGCTGTTGCTGCGAGGCCGCGGGTGGCAGCCGGAGAGGAGGAACCTGCAAGGACCAACCTGGTGCGCCCGGCCCCGCAGGCCACCGTGCAGCGCGGCAGCCTCCTCCGCTCCTCCCTCCAGCCTGGGCATCAGCGTGGTCCCCGCAGCAAAGCCAATGCGAAACAGAAATTAATCACGTTTTAAAAAATTGAGAGACCCGAGACCCTTGAAGTCTCGACCTCCTTCCTCCCTGCCCTCAAGCCGCTAGTAGCGCGGCCCGCTCGCCGTGCAGTGACGGAGCCGCCGTAGGTGAGGGGCCGCGTCCCCGCCTGCCCTGGGCGCCGCGCCCGGCACCGATCGCCGCCGCCGCCCGCACCATGATCGCTCTGCGCGCTGGGGTTACAGGTTGGTCACCGCGCTGCCGCCCGGGTCACCGCGCGCCCCGAGGCCGGGAGGCTCTCGCGGCGCCCCTCGGGCCCAGGCGGACGGGGACGCGGGGCTGCGATCTGGAGTGGGTCGGGCAGGCGCCCCCACCTCGCCGTGGGGCGCGCCGAGATCCTCGGCGTGGCGGCCCGGGAAGGGCCCGGAGCCCCGCTGCGTCCTGGTCCGCGCTGTCCCTGTGCGATGGTGATTGGGGCGCCTGCAGCGAGCTCTCATGGCCGGGCCTGGGAAGCCAGGAGAGCTGGAGCTGGGGCCTGCCTGCCTGGGCATCCAGCAGGTGTTGGCGGTGGGGAAGGCAGGTGGCTGGGGATGGGGATGAGCGGAGTCACCAACAGCGTTGGCACCGGCCTGGTCTGTCTGGCCTCGGGGCCTGCTCATCATCTGCGCAGGTGTGGGGGCCTTTAGGCTCTGGCAGGTTTCTAGGAGGCTGCGAGGCCTTGCACCGCCTCCATGCATCAGCAGATTTGTTGCCTTAATGTCCCTCTTTTTATTAATCGGCTGGGTTGAGCAGCTATCATTAGGGCAGCACCGTTTTGTCGTTGAAATTTTATCTCCCTTTGCGCCTGCAAGGCTGCACTTCCCGGGCACCATCCAGAATCCTGACCAAGGTGGGATCTCGGTAACTCAAGCCTTCCTCTTTCAGGATGCTGTTAACTCTGAATTCAGCTCCCAAGGTTCTAAAATACCACAGGAATGAATTTGCAGACGAGGGCACAATTTTTCAAGACCATAGTATGAAGGGTATGTGGACACAGACACTCTCAGGCCTCCTAGCAAACTTTCCATCTTTGTTGTGCGTTTATGAGGTCACCCGCTGGGCCCAGGTTTCCTTGCCTTGGTCTTGAAATGAGACTGAAGGAGCAGTGAGTTTTGTATCTGTGTTCTTTGCTTAGTGGTGAAGAGCTCTCACAGAGGGTTAAAATTAACAGGTGACTATTTTTTAAAAAATTAAGATGCCTGTTTTTTGAGGGGTGGGGATGGTCCTTTTGAGCCAGGATCTCACTATACATTTTAGGCTGGCCTTGAGCTCACTTTGTAGCACAGGCTATTCTCGAACTTGCAACAATTCTCCTGCCTCAGCCTCCAGAATGCTGGAATTACAGGCATGCGCCACCACACCCAGTTTAGGATTCCTATTTTCATAGCTGTGACTTTTTGCATGGGAAGGAGAAGGTGGGCCATGTAGGTATCTACGAAGCAGATGCTCAATGAGAGCAGGATTTTACGTCTAAAGAAGAAAATCATGGCTTCTCCAGCCTCCATTATCGCTGATGTCCTAGCTGGCTTTCATTCTGTGTGGTGTGCCATGTTGGAGTCCTCACTTTCCTGTTGCGCATTTTTACCCAGCCGTTGCTAAGACTGGATAGAGTGAAGGAAAAGTCAGGCTTTGGAGAAAAACTAAAACCTGAACAGGCCTATCGAACTCTCTTCCATGTTCATAGATGGCTTGATGTCTTTGTGGAGAACAAATGCTATCACTGAAAAGGACTGTAATGGATGCTCTACAAAGTCAAAGGAAAAGCATTCTTGTGATGTGGTAGTAATAGAGCTACACCTTTGGATGTGACTTGAAAGATATTCAGAAGAGGAAACATGCAGCATTAAAAGAAAACAAAACAGTAGCACTCTGCAGTTTAGTGCGTTGGGTGTTTAGGTAGCCTTTTCTCCTCCTTTGGATGTGGCATTTCTCAGAAATGGGCTCCACTGCTTCTTTTCTCTTTCCTCAATGCATCCGTGTTTGCTGGCACACGTGTGTGTGTATTCACTCAGATACTTAAGTGTTTTCTCTGTGATACTGAGACAAGGTCTGAATTTTTATGGCTATGTCAGATTATCCTTGCAGGAAAGAGTCCCAAGTCTGCAAAGAAAAGCTCACATGAACACCATCACATCCTAGTAAAAGCCGGGCACTGAGCCAGACGCTGCCTCTTTAGTGAGGTAAAAAGATGGCCCAAGGCTCTGAGACTCTGTCTCAGGGGAAAGACAAGTACATATGCAGGTAGCAATACCGTCAGATATCCTGTCTTCTAGTTTGGGTTTGGAAACTATGAAGTCACACTTAAAGAAATCATGAGTTTTACACTCCCCCAGATGGTAGCAACATTTCTGAGCTTAGCTGTCTGTCATGTTATGCCTTTGTTTTTTAATTTATAAAGAATAGGTTTCTTGGCTCAAGCTATATGGCTCTTACCTATCTCAAGAACTTTCCCAAGAAATTTTAAACTTTCCGAACTTTCACGTGCAACACTTTACTTCATTGGTTATTTTTGAACTTTAAAATGAAAAAGTTAGAGATGACAGAAGGCTAGATAAGAAAAATAAGCACACACAATTCTAGCAACATTACACGCATGACTGCGGGATCCGTCTGCTGCCTGTAGTCTTTTAAAGAGCAGAACTTTAGTTGTAGTCATAGTGCTGTGTAATTTTTATACTGGTTGTTCCCTTTAATGTTGGTCATAAGCATTTAAAATATTTTATACAGGGCAGGGGGTGTGGCTCAGCAGCACAGCACCTGCCTGGCACGTGCAAGGTCCTGAGTTCAATTCCTGGTCCCTCCAAAATAAAATATTTTACTGTTTTTCTTAAAATTTATAAAAGGCTATGTAACATTTATGTTTAAGGAAACTGTGTGTTTATTTCTGTAATTGATGCTTAAAGAAATTATCTATACCCAGTGACTATAACCTCACTTATACAACACATCTCTATCATTCCTATCACTGAACATTTATAGTTTCTAATTTATTATCATTAGAAGCAATTCCTGATAGATTGTTATAGTATAGTGATTTATTTCCATTTTTTTCTGTATATCTTTTTTTTACCAGTTATATTGCTTAGAACAAAAGGTATCTAAATTTTTATGGCTATATATATCTTCAGATATATATCTTCAGATTGGCTTCCTAAACACTTCACATTATAATTGTGAATAAGACATTTAATATGCCTTCAAATTAAATCTGCCACTTTAAAAAAAAAGTATTTACAGATCATCTTCCCTTTTATGAGGATACAAAAAGAAAATAATAATTTGGACTTATAACTTTTGTGCTATGTAGAAATTCATCTGAATTTATAAAAAATGTAACATTCATCTGAAAACCAGAAGATAAAATGCAATCTTAGAGTAAAACCAAAGTAGAGAAGCTAAAAGAAAAAATTAAAAGCTGAAAAAAAATACATGCAAGATCTTTTAGGAAAAATGGCTGTTAAGATCAGTTTAATTTTGCCTTTGCTTTCTAGCTCAGACGCCAAATAAATGATCAAAACATTTATGCAGAGAAAGACTGTCCCCATAGGAACAGGAAAAAGAGGAGTCTTGGTCTCTAGGATGCAGAATCCAAGGTGTGTTGTTCAGTTCGGTGGAGATAGGGCTGCACTGAGAGGCAAAACAAAGGTTCTGTTCACAAGTCCCTTTCTAAGAGAGTTATGCAAAAGCCAGGGAGGAAAGACACAGGAGAACCCCTTCATATGAAGGAATTGGGAGCAGGGTGTTGGTAAGAGAGATGCTCAATTTCCAAAGCAGTTTCTCTATGAGGTCCAAAGGCAGGTGCAGCTCGACCAAAGGAAATATGCTCAGAGGACAGGGATTGACCCCAAGATCCAGAGGTGGGGGCTAGAACAGGGCTCCAGTGAGGGAGTCCAGGAAAATGAGATGCACCAAGGGCCAAAACCCTACGGCCAGAGGAGACATTTGTGGGAAGATGAAGATTATACAACAGGAGGAGATGAAAGGAAGAGTTTGTTTGCGGTGAAGATGGTGTGTGTGGAAGACAGCCAACAGGAACACAGGAACACATGCTCTTCCCGACGGAGAAAGCAGAGCAACTGGAGCACAGCCAAGTTTCAAAGTGAAATAAGATCATTTTTTTCACAGTAGATGAAAAGAAAATACACATCAAAACAGGTTATCAGGTGCCAAGAAAAATAAATATAACATAGGCAACACTGAGATAGAGCTGAGTGAGCACATGAATTTGCTTGGTGAGCATAATCCATCAGCAGTAGAATCAGGTTTTTAAAAGAATTACTTGTTCACAAAGAGACAATTTAGACTGGCTTTTTACATCCTTTCTAAACTTATCGACAAATAGTTCTTTTATATCCTGAAAATCTGTTGTCCTAAAAATATCCCAAGACAATTCTCTTATGGAAATAATATGGGTCCAAAATGAAAAAATAGATGAAATGTAGATATACTAGGCAGGTGATACCAAGGGGGAAAAAAAGGGGAGGCGGACTGAAATGTGTGGCTATCAGAAAAATAAATAAAAATAATTAAATAAGAAAAAAGGACCTTAAAGTCATAAAAGTTACGATCTTTAGTATAGTACCAATTCTAGGATCACAACATCACTGTGTATAGTGGAAAGTAGTCTTGTGATAAATTGCAGGGGAGGGGAGACACTGCCCACAGATCAAGTACTCTCAGGAAGGTTTCTGTGTTCCAAAAGAGAATTTAGAGTAAGCATTTCAAATAAAGATGTAACAATAAAATAAAATAAAATGTAGTTAGAGAGGAAGACAAGAAAAAAGTAAAGCTTAAAAACGTAAAGCACAAATGATTTAACTGCAAGGTAAAATAGCTTTTGATTTGACAGGAAAAAAGCTACAAACTACAGCATTCTAACTTCTCAGGAATATCAAGCCACAAGGGTCTATACCAAGAATTAGACCAAGAAGAACAAGAATGATGAAAGAGGAAAAGGAGGTTAATGAAGGAAGATGTTAGAAAATGTGTAATCCCCGTATAGTAATGCAAATGAAGAAGGAGGGGATAAAGATGTATCCATGGGAAACAGTTCTAAGGGATTTTGGTGACCAAGCAAAAAGGAAAGGGAGCCCTAGATGAAGAGTAAGTT